TAACCGTATCGGATCCCGCGCAACACAAGCGAAGACAAAAAGATGGAGGTGCCATGTGCCAGGCAACTGCCCTAAACTTAATACGCATCTTTACCTTTTCTGTTTCACCGGTGTGGAAATATCAATGATGTCATCAATCACAGGGACACCTTCTCTCCTCTGCATTCTGGCCCGTCGTTGAGGCAAGGATTCATGTTGTATGGGATGATTCATAGGAGAGTCTATAGTCAGGTCAACCACGTACGCTGAAATAAACACAATTCATAACACCTAGCTCTGTGATGGATGTATTCTCATCTAACACTAACTAACATCAACAAATTCACTGCCATGAACAGAGAGCAACACACGTTTCAATTTTCTGAATGTCCCAATGACAGTGATCATCAAATCAGCATTTTATTCCAAGTAACTGTTTGTGCTTCAAGTCAGGACAGTTCCCTCAGCATAGTAACTAGCTACGGACCGGACGACTGGGGTTTGATACCCGACGGGGGCAGAGCCTCTGAGTCCAGACTGGCTCTGGGGCCCACCCAGCCTCCTATCCAATGAGCACCAGGGTCCTTTCCTGGGGGTAAAGCGCGGCCAGGGTGTGATACTGACCGCTGATCCCCATTTAGTGACAAGGTCAAGCTATACCTCGTCTCCCCCCAAACTGGTCTGCTTTACATTACTTTACTGTTTGTGCTTCAGGTCACACAACAAATAAGCTCAACATGAACATACAAATGCTTGCTTTTTAATCATGCGCTGTGTTATGGCTCTCACACCTCTAGGTATGCTCTTTGACAACTTTCCTAAGACACAAAGAAAGGAACGGAAGCACATGTGCGAGGCTTGCATTTGACCACAGATGTGATGACAGAATGACACTGAGGATGATGATGGCCACCAGCTGGGACCCAAAGCTCAATGTGGGATCCAGCATTTGTCACACACACAAAGCATTGAATCTGTCAGAGGGAAAATTGGCATTAGAACTGGCTCGTACCTTCTCCCCTCCCACAACTACCATGCCTTCAATAAACTCTTCTATTAAATAAAATGCCATAGACGACCACTACACACTGATGCATCTGTATTCATGTGAGTTTTTTCGTAATTGAGGTTCAGATTTTGTCCTTTATCACTAATGCAAGCAAAAAAGTTGTTGGTGAGGCTATCAACTAACTAACTAACTAGACGGAACCCGAAGGTTCATCACCGAATTATCCAAAGCCCTCCACCGGACCCTGTCCTGGACCAACAAAATCCAATCATCTTCAACTCCCATCTCTGATAGATCCCGCCTGAGATTATCCTCCCATCTACGTCTAGGTCTCCCCAGGGGTCTCTTCCCCTCAGGCTTCCCAAATAGTGGACCCAACCAACCAGATGGCTTACGGAACCCGAAGGTTCATCACCGAATTAACCAAAGCCCTCCACCGGACCCTGTCCTGGGCCAACAAAATCCAGTCTCCTTCAACTCCTATCTCCCTTTTATTCCAAGTAACTGTTTGTGCTTCAAGTCAGGACAGTTCCCTCAGCATAGTAACTAGCTACGGACCGGACGACTGGGGTTTGATACCCGACGGGGGCAGAGCCTCTGAGTCCAGACTGGCTCTGGGGCCCACCCAGCCTCCTATCCAATGAGCACCAGGGTCCTTTCCTGGGGGTAAAGCGCGGCCAGGGTGTGATACTGACCGCTGATCCCCATTTAGTGACAAGGTCAAGCTATACCTCGTCTCCCCCCAAACTGGTCTGCTTTACATTACTTTACTGTTTGTGCTTCAGGTCACACAACAAATAAGCTCAACATGAACATACAAATGCTTGCTTTTTAATCATGCGCTGTGTTATGGCTCTCACACCTCTAGGTATGCTCTTTGACAACTTTCCTAAGACACAAAGAAAGGAACGGAAGCACATGTGCGAGGCTTGCATTTGACCACAGATGTGATGACAGAATGACACTGAGGATGATGATGGCCACCAGCTGGGACCCAAAGCTCAATGTGGGATCCAGCATTTGTCACACACACAAAGCATTGAATCTGTCAGAGGGAAAATTGGCATTAGAACTGGCTCGTACCTTCTCCCCTCCCACAACTACCATGCCTTCAATAAACTCTTCTATTAAATAAAATGCCATAGACGACCACTACACACTGATGCATCTGTATTCATGTGAGTTTTTTCGTAATTGAGGTTCAGATTTTGTCCTTTATCACTAATGCAAGCAAAAAAGTTGTTGGTGAGGCTATCAACTAACTAACTAACTAGACGGAACCCGAAGGTTCATCACCGAATTATCCAAAGCCCTCCACCGGACCCTGTCCTGGACCAACAAAATCCAATCATCTTCAACTCCCATCTCTGATAGATCCCGCCTGAGATTATCCTCCCATCTACGTCTAGGTCTCCCCAGGGGTCTCTTCCCCTCAGGCTTCCCAAATAGTGGACCCAACCAACCAGATGGCTTACGGAACCCGAAGGTTCATCACCGAATTAACCAAAGCCCTCCACCGGACCCTGTCCTGGGCCAACAAAATCCAGTCTCCTTCAACTCCTATCTCCCCTGGGCCAACAAAATCCAATCTCCTTCAACTCCTATCTCCCATAGATCCCGCCTGAGATTATCCTCCCATCTACGTCTAGGTCTCCCCAGCAGTCCCTTCCCCTCAGGCTTCTCAACCAAAACCTGGTGCACACCTCTTGTCCCATCCATGCGCGCTACATGCCCCGCCCATCTCATTCTTCTCGACTTAATCACCCTGACAATATTGGGGGAGGAGTACAGATTTTTAAGCTAATCATTGTGCAGTTTTCTCCACGCCCCATGGTCTTCTCTCCTAGGCCCAAATATCCTCCTCAACACCCGATTCTCAAACACCTGCAATCTGTGTTCCTCCCTCTGAGTGAGAGACCATGTTTCGCACCCAGGTGAGGCCATCAGCAAAATAAATAGCATTTTGTGCTTTTGTTAAGTGATGATGCTGTTTGATGAGTGATCGCCACACATACAAGACGTTGAAGACAGACTGAATAAATACAAGCTACCGCGCATACAATTGGCACATAAAAGGAAGTTATACTTTGCATGGAAAACATAAGAACAAAATAATATAACTAGGAGCACGCAAATACGGTGTTGCTACAAGAACAGTCACCAGAATTGTCGCTAGTTGCAGTCTACCAACTTTACCAGTCTTGAACTGGCAAATTCTAAATTTGTTTGAATAATTACCTCTGCAAGTTCAATACCATTTATCGGACCACAGTACCTCACAAAATTCAACAGACTTTCACTGCTTTACATAAATATTCTTGCACACATAAAAGAACTGAACACCTCGCTTCTGGAGCAGTGATCCAACAAAAAGCAACATTGCAGCAAACTCAAACCAAATTTAAATATGTAGGATTTCAGGTTTTCACGGTGGTGAGTCTGAAGATGACTGTCTTCTGGGTTGGTGCGCCGTGTAGTATGGTAGAATTTTACCAATGTTTCAGAGGTCCTCGCTGCCTCCATCATCAGGGCAATCCCAAAAAACAGCCATCTTCAGATGTGAATAACTTCAAATCACTTCTTCCCATATAACACGAAGAAAGTTTGCAGCTAACAGGAACATATTTTAACCGTCTTTAGAACACAGAGTGACAAAGTGCAGAAAATTTCTGTACAAACCTGGATCAGAGTTCATATCACGCCTGCAACATTCTCTCCTTGGTTTTGTAGTCATCCTGCAATTGCAACAGCTAGAATTTGAGAATTAGAAAAAGTTTTAATTGTTAATATCACCACACAACTGCAGCTGAAGACACACAACAACAAACATGTAAAACATGGTGAAACTCAGGGGCACGTGTAACTAGGCACTATTTTGTAATATTACATCATTCAGACATAACCTACAATTTTCTCCAAAAACTGAAAATGTATGTGGGGGATTTCTCAGGGTGTAATGGGTATGACATGCTGTCTCCAGACAAATGATGGCCATCTTCTGGGTTGTAGCACCGTGCAATCTGATAGAAGTTTACCAACATTTCATAAGTCTTTGCTGCCTACATCATCAAGGTCACGAGCATTGAAAAAATACTTAACCACGCAATGCTTACAGAATTCATGCCCTTCTCTCTCGCTCATACACAAACACGAGCCTCTAGCAACACATGCCAGTTACCATTATTGTTATATTTACCTGCATTAGCTTGTGGGTTGTGAAATCTAATTTATCAACTACAAACACTGGCGTGATACTTTAACAGCCTGCTGGACTGTAGACGTGGAAGATCGATAAGTTTATTATTTTAACATAACCTAAAACAAACTAACTTGCTAACATGCTGAACAAAATGTTGCATGAACAGTAAGTTGAACTACACAAAAAGTGTTTCACCATCTTCTTGCAAACTGACAACAGTTTCAAAATCTGCTTCAAAGATTAACCAAGTTCAACAAACATATGTTCTTCATTTTACATCCTTGGTAAACAGCTGATGGACTTCCATTTCTGAGAGTACTTTGTCATAAAAGCTGAGGAACATTTGTGTTTTACAGCCCAATGATAGTTTTTACAGTTTTACGAACACAAAACACAAATATGACAAAAGTGTGTTCAATCAAAAGTATGAATGTGCACATTTACAAGGTATACAAATTTGGGTTCTTTTCGTAGTTATATAACGCTGTATGAACATGTAACATTTTTGTTAATATGCGCAAGATGAAAATAAAGATTATATTGGAATTCATTGGAAACCACTAAAATAACAAAACTCTGATTTCAACTTTAAAAGAAATCTCCTCCTGTAAAAGTTACAGCAATAATATTTTTGCTACTTCAAAAACCCTGGATGCCGCTATGTAATATTTCGTGGTACCCATGAAACAGCATACAATTCCCATTCGTGCTTGCATCACTGCAAAGGAATGTATATAAATTCTTAATTTCCTTGACAAAACTAAACAAGACAAATTACTGCCATACCTCACTTGCAAAGCACAAAACAAGTTTATTAGTATATCTCGAAATTAAAAGAAAATGTTTGCTGCTTCGTAGAACACTTGTAATTTTATTTTATCCGAACTTTAAAACCACACCAGTGAGCAGAATCTATGAAAGAAAGCAATGTCCCAGCTGACGACAGAACAACAGTGATTTGAAAAAACAAGCTTTAGATGAATGCGTTCCACAATCGACAAACCATGGTCGACCATCGAGAATCGATAACTTATATTTCTGGATTTTTTCACAAGACATGAGAAACGTCAAACTCGACTGGATGTAACAGCCATCTATCAACATATCTACAAACTACGTAGTTACTAAACTAGTGTACAATACATACCAATTGCAGTTTTCGCTTATTATTGGAATAATAATAAGCCGAGTAAACAAATGGCTACAAATTGGTTGTTCACAACAATGGCAAGTAAACAACCAATTTATATTATAAATAGAATACAACAATGGCGAGTAAACAAATGTTTGTTTGGTGACGTCATTTTTTGACTACAAATTGTTTGCCGACGATTTCAAATCAAAAAAAGTGACAGTGGAACCAACAGTTCCGGAGAATTTGACGTAAATACGTCTTTGTATTTAAATTATAATTAGGCAATAAATACAATGAAAGGCTGTTTATACATTAACTTCAGGTTCATTATTTAATACTTCTATTTTTTAAGTTTTCCGTACTGTCTCGTATATTCTGCATTACGGACTCTTTTAGCTTCAATGTCATCCATCTTGCTATCTCTAAGTATTATAACGCAACTGCGCAGACGCAGGAGTAGCGTGAAGTGAGATGCGCATTTATCTCTTACCTCATACCGTAATGAATTCTGACAGACCACGACGTCCACCTGCAATGATCCATTTTATCTAAACTAAAATGGAGAGAGTTGAGGGCAGTTTCACAGATTTCTTAATAATTCTTATGTAAGATAAACACTTGTGATATTCTAAAAGGTTTTTAAGAGCACAAAATTATCTTCTCTACGACGCACTTTTTCTACAACCGATTCACAGCTCAGCTCTTTCCACAATAACGAAAGCGGATTGTTGACGGCGATAATGTACCACAACAATGCCGAATAAACAGATGACGTTACAATTAGTTTCTTCGGTAAAAGAATTGAGTGCAATACGGTTCATTCAGGCTATTATACTGCATGTATAAGGAACGAGAAAAGAGCCTTATGGCATGGTGAACCAACATTGTTGCAGGCGTGGGTTAGAAATTCGAATAATTTTTCTTACATTGTTGTAGACGCAGGTGTTCATATAAAAGCTGACCATTGTCGGTTGGTTTTTTTTTTCCATATTTACACATTGTTGGAATGACCCTTCCGTGTAGCAAGCTTCTAGGATCGTGGCTTTGAACAGATGTTGCGCGCATAACAGGCGTAGGAAACACATGTAATGTTTCCTTTCTTTGCCAAGGTGGGATCGGGTTCGATGAAGGGATTTATGAGAATCTTACGCTCGGTTTACAGGGGTTTAATTAAAGATCGCATCAGCTGTGGCTTTAGGTATTTATTTTCAAGTGATTGCTGAATTAAATTCTCCTCACGATATTGGTCAAAGTTAATGCAATACACCGATGAGTCCGTGATACAGTTTCAACTTGCAAAAACTGACGACTCGACTTTAAAAGAAGTTCGTCTATCATTCCGAAATCTTGAATTTTGTAAACGGCATTGCTTCGACATCCCGTGATTGGTGGAATAATTCAAATTTAAGTCAAAATAACTTTTCTCTGATTGGTCGGTTCAATACTAGGTCACTTATGCCTACTTTTTGCATAAAACCCAATTAATAGGGGGTCCGACCTCACAGGGGTGAAATACTTCAACGGCCAGTTGAAAGAAGTTTTGAATGTGGATTTTTTCGAAAATGACAGCTGACAGTGACAAATGTAGGTCTGAACCTTCGTGACATTCTTTGAGGATGGTCATAGTCTGGGCTCGACCTCCTGACTAGACGATTACACACATTTTGCTCGTCATAACTGAAAGAAAACCACTGCTTGCATGAACCAAAAGTAAATGGAAGGATAATGGTAAGTGGATCTTACAAAGAAACACATCTGGATTGGCTGAGAGTGGGGTCCACGTTCGAGTTCCTCAAAATGTATGAAATTATTCAGCAGCTGGGCGAATATAACCTCATTTTCGTTTTTATACTGTCTACGTGTACGAGGTGCGATCAGAAAGTTTCCAGACTGCGCGTATAAAAACCCGTACACTTATCTCAGGTATTAAATTCATCCATCACCCTCGAAGTAGTTCCCCTGGGAGTGAACACAACGATCCCAGCGCCGCTGCTAAGCCTGGAAGCATCCCTGGAAATCTTTCTTTGTCAGACTGTCAAGCACCATCTGCGATTCTGCCTGAATCTCTTCTATCGTCTCAAATCTCCTTCCCTTGAGCTGAATTTTCATCTTTGGGAAGAGGAAGAAGTCACACGGAGCTTAAAAAGGAAGTTGGGGTCGGTTCTTGCAAGATCTTTGACCTCCTGACAAACGAGAAGTCGATTCTGCTTCTAGTCCTCTGACAGGATGCGTCGCATGTGGAGTTCTTCCTTTAGAATCAGCTAACAGGTCCCATAGCCTATCCCAACAATGTCGCACAAGTCGTTGATGGTACGACGTCGATCTTCGTAACATTTTCGGGCGTTGTGCTCGAAGATGGTCGTCCAGAACGCTCGTCATCATCGACAGAGGTTCGGCCATTTTTAAAACGTGAATGCCACACAAAAGTTGGTGCACGACCCATTGCGGACTCCCCAAATGCTTGCTTTAGCATTTCACAGGTTTCCGTAGCCGTTTTGGCGAGTCTTTGGCAAAATTTGATGCACACGCCATTCCGAAAGCGCAGGAGGGTCGGGGAACAGGAAAACGTCTATCAACAAATGCCATCGTTGGTTTAAAAACGTCCGTACAGTGGAAATGTCTATGAAAAGAGAACAGGGGATGTTGTTATTCCCTGTTCCAGCTCGCATTGTCTCCTGAACAGTAGCGAATGGACACGCCATCTTGATACAAGAACTGCTCTATCGTATTACTGTCAAGATCACTGACAGGAAATCTGAGCCATTCCAATCAACACGAGGCAACAGGGCTTGGCTACAGAACATGGGCGTACAAATATCGTAATCGATCTCCAACTTTTACTATTTAAGTCTTTATAATAATGGATCAAGGATTCGTACGTCATCAGCTGTCGTTTGTTAAGAGAGTGAGTAGGTCCTGTTTTGTTCTGTTTTTTTATTGCAATTGTAATCTGCGAGGTACAAACAATCCTTTCATGTGTGTGTCGTAATTTAACAGAACAGACTATTTGATAACATCTGGAACACATACTGAGATATTTGCATATCTCAAGTGATTAATGACCACGTAAATTGCTCAAAAGTTTCTTAAACACTTCTCGGCCTTCAAACATTCTCTGACACGGTATTCAGACGTGAACGCATTCAGAAATAATAGAAAATCGAATCTCATTTCATTGCCATCCTCATCGATATAATGCCTTGTATCGATCGAGACGTGAATTTCTGGAACTAAAGTAGATGAGTTACGCCCAAAAAATCAGAGATGGCAGTGTTGTGAAAGTTATGACAATGGACGTGGGCTAAGATATAGAAAGCCTCAAGTTATCGGATCTGATATAGAATGGAAAAGATAAAATTAATAAGAAGTCTTCTTTATGAATTGGAATTTCAGATCCGCTGTAACAGTTTCGATGCCTGAAACATAATTAATCTTTTACGACAATTTTTACAGAGTAACATGGTTTAAGAACAAAAAATGGCTGTTTACAAGAGTCCATCCCGAATTTAGGATATCTGGCATAGGATAATTCAAATTTGGCCCCGTTTAGAAATCAGACGCACAATTCCACGGTTTCCTGAACACACGGTGACGGCCAAAACACTCCTTGTCAGTAAAAATACTGAGAATAGAAAGTGAGGACTCCCAAGGTGATACGAAAATTTTGGCAACATTT